CCCCAGAGGAGCCCCTTCCGCGCCCCAATCCTGATTAGACTTGGCAGATCCATTAGGATTCCCTTCACGCTCCCGCGTTCCATCACCGGCATCATTAACGCGGGCCCGGCCGCCGGCAGCGGCCAGCACCGCACGGGGCCGCGGCTCCGGCTCCCCTCCGGGCGGGATGGAAGCGGGAGCTGTTGGAAATTATATCGATTTGAAAATGTTTATGTAACTTTAGTCCAAAATTGTGTTCGCCTTTTCCCTGGGGGAAGGGCGCTGCTGAAGTTTCTTTGCAGGGCGTTGTTCCACCAGGTGACGGCTGGGGAGCTTCACAGATGAACAGAGCGGGAGGGGACAGGAGAGAAGGGACATCAGTGACCATCGGTGACCATCAGTGATCGTTAGTGATCATCAGTGGCCATCAGCGGCCATCAGTGAGCACTAATGGTCACCGGTGATCATCAGTGACCATCAGTGGCCATCAGTGGCCATCAGTGATCGTTAGTGATCATCAGTAGCCATCAATGAGCACTAATGGTCACGGGTGACCATCAGTGACCATCAGTGGCCATCAGCGGCCATAAGTGAGCATTAATGGTCACCAGCGACCATCAGTGGCCATCAGTGATCGTTAGTGATCATCAGTAGCCATCAGTGACCATTAACGTTCACCAGTGACCATCAGTGACCATCAATGACTATCCACAGCCACCAGTGACCATCAACGGAACATCAGCCCCAAACCTCCCCCCTGGTGTGGTCGGAGCCACCTGCTCTGAGAAAAGAGAGGTGAGAAACGGGGCCTGATCAGCATCGGAGGGGAAGAAATCCAAATCCAATAAGAACCCAAATCCTGAGAACCACACAGCGTTGGACCGATGAACATTAAACCAATGAAGTTCTCTGGGGTTTGACTGGATAAATTTTGGGGAAAATCTTGTAAAACTTAAGTGTCATGCAATGATTKTCTCTGTGCACCTGGGTTATGTGTGGRTGAAATTATTTCTGTGGCGTATCCTGGCCAGCACAACACCCTGGCCAGAAAATAAAGCAATGCCTCGACTCTCTAACATTAAAAATGTTGTTGGGGAGTTTTTGTTTTTCCYGCAGTCTCGGTGRCARARCCAGCCYSWCGGAGCTGCCGGGATCCCRGGATAACCCAGCTGGAGCGGCCCCGGGCCGGGTGTGGTCCCTCCACACCCCACGGAGTGTCTGCAGGGTTCCATCCTCAGCTCCGGCCCTCATCCAGAACTTTCCGGCTGGGATTCCRGGTATTTCAGGGAATGGCAGGGAGTGGTGGCTCTGGAGGCTGCAGGGAAGGGGGGGTTTCACTCCTGGGACGCTCAGGGCTGTGGCRGTGGCTCTGTCCCTGGTGTCACCTGCTCTGGGTGACCTTGGGTGRCACTGGGGGAAGGAGGAGRCCACAAAACCACRGAATCACRRACTCACCGRGGCTGGAWAGRACCTCAGGATCATTGAGTCCCTTCCTTACCCCAGCCCATCCTCAAACCTTGGCTCCAAGCGCTGGATCCACAATTTTGGAACAATTCCACGATGGAGCCTCCCTGAGCAGCCCCATCACCCTTTCCACGCAGAAACATTCCCCAATCTTCATCCTAAACCTCCCTTGGTGCTGTTTGAGGTCATTCCCTTTCGTCCTGTCCCTCATTCCCTGGMAGCAGAACCCGACATCYCCCWGCTCCAGCCTCCAGCCAGGGARGAGCTGGGAATCCATGGCATCCCATCCTCCCAAAAAACCCCAAAGATTCYTTCCTGCACCAGCGGGAAGAGCCCAGAGGCAGCAGGGTGTGCTAGCCCAGAAGTCAGGGATGTCGTTTGTTGGTTTAATGGGGCGGAAGCCAAAATAAAACCGGAAATTTACAGAAGGTGCTCTGAGGGTTTGTTTGTTTTTTTATTTATGTGAGAAAGTGAGGCTTTGTTTTTATAAAACAGGGAATAAGGAGAATTTGGGAGAGGGGGATTCTCTGCAGGTCTGGTCCAGAGGCCACCAAAGCCACAGAGCTCTGGTCCCCAAATCCTGAGTTTGTCCCCGGTCACACTGAGCCGGCCCCAGCACCATAACGCCCATTGATGTTTTATTATATCTATTATATTGTATTGTACTATGCTTTATTGCATTGTGTTGTATTGTGTTGTATTATATTATGTCATATCATATTTCATTATATTACATTATATTGTATTATATTAGACACATGGTAT